AGGAAGCTGCCCAGGGCCGGGACCACGAGCAGCAGCGCGGGCGCCATGGCGCGGGCACCGGGGCGGGGACTCCCGACTCGCGCCTCCAGCCAGCGCCGCCCTGCCGGGGAGGGGCTTTCCCCGGGGCTCCCCTGTGACGCGACTTCTCCTAGGGCCCGCCCCCAGGTGGGAGGAGCTCCCGCAGTGGGCGGGGCTCTGCGGATGCTCCATTCTCCTGTCTCTTGCTGGGGTCTCGCCAGGTCCGCAGCCCTGCCAGGGGGTCTCCCATCCCGCCCCGCCCGGAGCTCCCTCCAGCCAGCGGCCCCTGCTCCCTCCTCTGGGGTCCCCCCGCTCAAGGCTGCCCCGGGCTGCTCCCTCTTTCCCCCAGAGTCCCAGGATTTTTGCCCCTGGACCCTGCAGACCCCACCCCGCACCCGCGCAGGGCAGCCTCCCCTCCCCTCCCCTCCCCCAGGGATTGCCCCACTTCCAGCCCTGCGGGAAGGGCTGTCCCAAGGGTCTCTTAACCCCCTCCTAGGTCTCCCACCCACACATTTTATTTTTTTATTAATGTGTTTCGTGTTCCAGATCGAATCAGTTCCAAATCATATCATAGCGTCATAGGAAGTTAGGGTAGGAGGGGACCTCAGGGGGTCATCTAGACCAGTGGTTCTCAACCCGTGGGCCCTGACCCAAAAGTGGGTTGCAAGAATATTTCAATCAAAGGGTCTTGAGTAAGTGCCAGAAAATCATGCAAAAGCATGGGTTTACCCTTGTAGGCTGCACGGGGCTGCTTGGGGCATGGCTAGCATGCAGCCAGGCACAGTCATGCGAGCAGCCCTAGCAGCTGGATGAAGGTAAGTGCATGGGGCGTGGGGGTTGGAGGGCCAGGGCTTGGGGACTGTTGGCGTGTGGAGGGGATGGGTGTTGGGGAGAGGTACCTGCTGGCACTGGGGGGAGGTGGCCGAGTGCCCAGGCACCAAGGGTGCAGCAGGGCAGGGGGGGCAGGGCACTGTGGGTCGGGCAATGGCGGGGCCGGGGGATGTGGGTCTGGACGCGCTGCTGCTCGTGGAACAGCCTGCCACCGGAGGTGGTTCAAGCTCTTACATTGAACACCTTCAAGAGCAAACAGGATGCTTATCTTGCTGGGATCCTATGACCCCAGCTGACTTCCTGCCCTTTGGGCAGGGGGCTGGACTCGATGATCTTCCGAGGTCCTTCCAGCCCTAATGTCTATGAAATCTATGAAATCAATCTTTGCAAATGGGTCCCAATACGAAAGAACCACTGTTCTAGTCCAACCAACTGCTCAAAGCAGGACCAGCTCCAACTAGATCATCTCAGCCAAAGCTTTATCTAGCCGGGTTTGAAAACCACCAAGGATGGAGCTCCCACCACCTCTCTGGGTAACCTGTGAGTAGAACTCGATTGAGTAGAATTCAATTGTTCCAAAAAACATATTGATTGAGCAGGCAGCACTTGATCGTTCTAGATGCCATGTATGGTGCTACAACCCCCGAGCGTCCTCCATCCCAGGCTCTCACCCTGGGACTTCAGATATTTCCAAATCCATTGGTATGCATCCTACAAAGCCCGGAGGTCTTAGTGTTCAGATGCCCCCACCAAGACACTTGATCTGAGCCAAAAGTCTCCCACCCACACATGAGATGCCCTCCACAGCGTCACATCCTCCGTCCCCAGTGCTTCTGCAGAGACTGGCCTCATCATCCCGCACTTGAAGCCCCCAAGTTCTGTTCCCCAATATGAGGGGATGCCCCCAGAGCTCCTCATTCGGATGCCTATGGTGCCTCCTCCCCAATGCCAAGGGCTTCTCCAGGGTCTGTCTGGTCTTTGTGCTGATCTGTTCCACTGTGACTGCCTTCTCCTCCCTCTGTAGTCCCAGAGCTGCTTGGGAGACACTGTCATTGCTCAGTATTACCAGGGCATGAACCACACTCAAGCCCGGCAGAATCCTGTCTCAGAAAGGACAATCTTGGAGGGCAGGCATGGATCTTGTGGCTAAAACTGAGCTGGATCTTTGGAGACCTGCATTTAGGTTCCAGCTTTGCCCCAGACCCATTCACTCTGCTTCAGGTTCTCTGCCTCTCCTCCAGAGTCTGTGCAGGGCCTGACACCTTGGGATCTTGGCTGGAACATTTAGGTGTAGTCATAATATAATGAGTAAGGAAAAAGTAGGGAGGGGTGAAGTTGTGCTATTAATCATCAGGAGCAATAGCTTTAATAAGTAGGGATGCTGAGAAGCCTGAGACTGTGTAACTGCTAATAGAACTACTGTTTGGTTTTGTCCCTTTCATCTAAGGATCTCAAAGTGCTTTCAGAACAACAATTAATTAAATCCCTGAAAAAACTCATAGTAAAGGGGGATGTTATTGTCCTTGTTTTATAGATGCAGGGAAAGTGGCTTGAAGAGGAAACAGATCTAGGATAAAACCCAAGAGTCCCTCCTTCAGTTCCCTAGTCCTGCATATCTCCCATACTGCCAGTCTAACTCACTGAACACTGCTCTGATCTTGGGACTGGGGACAGACCCCAAAAGTCATGGGTTTTCCCAGTCCACTACTCACCACTTTCTTACCAGAACTGGAGGCAGAACCCAGGAATCCTGACTCCCAGCCTCCTCTTCTCTTACCTCTAGATCAGTGGTTTTCAAACTGTGGTCCATGGACCCCTGGAGGACTGCAGACTACATCTTAGGGGTCCATGAAAGATGACTGATCAATCAAAAGTATGCAGATACCCCCATTTACAGTTCAAAGTAAATTTACATTTACAGTTACACCTCCACTCAAAATTTCCAAGGAGTTCACACCTCCATTCAAAATGTTTAGGGGTCTGGAAATGGAAAAAGGTTGAAAACCACTGCTCTAGACCAGGGGTGTGAAACGTATGAAGCATTCCATCTGGCTCACCCCGGCAGTCCAGTAGGCTACTGGAAGTGCGGTAGAGCAGAATTTGATCCCAGTGGTCATGACTATTGGTGGCAGCCCCTTAGTTCTGTACTGCTGCCCAAACACGGCTCTGTGCAGCTGCATGTCCCCAGCTCTGTGCTGCTGCCCTGCCTGAGCGCTGTGCTGCCACATGACTCATGCTCCTCACTGACTCATGCTTCTGGCTTTGCGCTGCCCAAATGTGGCTCCACGCAGCTGCCTGGCCCCAGGCCCATGATGTTGCCCAAACATAGGCCCAGGGGTCCAGCCTACGAGGAACCTTGCAGTCTGGATATGGCCTGGAGCCTGGGGTAAGTTTGATACCCCTGCTCCACTCTCCTCCTAGACCTGGGAACAAAGCAGAGCCCTAGCCCCTGCTGTAATGACTACACTTTGCCCCAGTAATTTAGGCCTCTGGCAGACGTGAAAAAAAATATGTAAAACAGCAGTTTCAGAAGAGGCATTGCATCAGTTTGACCTGGCTTGTCCAGTGTCTGTATAGATTGCATGCTTCAGTGGGGCTTTTTGGTGCCTTTATCTAATAGCTGGTTCAATCAGCTATTACATAAAAATGCCAAAAAGCGCTGCTGAAGCACATGATCTATAAATAGATTGGGTGAACTGGGTCAAACTGACTTGATACCTCTTCTGGGCCTGTCCTGCACTTGACGTAGGGGCACACCAAACTGAAAGTAAAGCGCTGGGCTTTTTTTCACGTCTGTAAGCAGCCTTATAGGAGAAGGGCCTTGTAGGTAACAGTTGTAAGGTAACACTTGCTCTCTGCAATCTAGGAGGTCACATTTTATGGCTTCTTTTGTATCCCTCCTTTCCTTTCCCAAGCTCTATCCTTTTGGGGCACAGTTTCCTTGTGCCCCTACCCTCACTCCCCCCCATGCCCATTAGGGGACCAAGATAGCCCCAATAAAGTCCTCCAACACCTTAATCTTTCTCTTCTTGCTGCAAGGTCAACACATTCCACCTGCTGGGACCTGGCAAAGCCAAGATGGGGTGGGGTAGCATCAGAGGGCATTCATCAGTGCCAGCTGACACCTGTTTGATCTGCAGATAATTGTAGAGCTGTTTGAAGCCACAACTGTGCCAAGCAGATGCCAAGCTCTCTGTGACCTCCATTTCTTTCTTTAAGGTTTCTAACCCCCCTCATCCTCCAAAATCAATGGGGTCCTGGCCAGGGAGACCTTGAACATAGCTTGAAATGCAGAGTGGATCAGCTCTGGTGTTAAACATGGGCAGCCCTACACTTAGACAGCCATGCATGGCAGTGCTATCAAACTTAGGGGAAGGGCTGGCATGCACCTGGCCCATAGGCTCTGCCCTGGCTTGTGCATAGCCTGGCTGTGAGGCAGGAGGGAAGCTGAGGCTTTGCTAATCAATTTCATCCTGTCTGAAACCCCCTGAACTGGCAGCTTCCTCCCCAGTAAGTGATCCAGTGCAGATCCCCTGCCCCAAGTCTCTAGAGTGCTCTTCACCCAGAATGGATCCGTTTCCAGATAGCTGGTTCCCCCACTCTCGAGCTTCAGATCCCCTTGGGTTGCTTGCAGTCCCCACGCTGCCTAGTTGGTGTGGCTGGAATCCCTCCTCCATCCCTGCTCGGGTTCTGCACCCCACCCCTCCCAGTTCCTCTATTGCTGGGATTCCTGCTCTGTCGCTGTCCCAGCCTTAGCCTGTGCTCCCCGCCCTGCATCCCAGGATGCCTCCGCCCTGCATCCAGGTAAGAGGCAGGCCACAAAACCAGGCAGTATAAAACACCAGAGCTGCTAGCTGAGAGCTGCACCGCCTAGTCTGTCCCAGCAGAGGAAAGGTTGGGTCTCTGAGGGGCCACTGCTGTCCCATTGAAGCTTCCAGAATGGCTTGTGGTGATCATGGGGGGTCACCCCTTCACTTGGCTCCTATACTCCTCCTGCTTTTGTGTCTCCATTTGCCAGGTAGGTCAAGGGGCCCATGGTAATTGCTGCTGGTTGATTGTTCTTGAAGCAGTACTTTTTGCTGAGACAGTTCTTTCCATGACTGGGATGTCACATGACTCTGTTGGTATCTGGGATGCTGGGGGCAGCACAGGGGATTGGTTGGATGGGGGGATATGGGGAAGGATCCTAGAGATAAGGGACCTGGCAGGGGAGATACCATGATGATGGTTTTAGCCCAGGTAGTTTTACTGACCTGGCAGGGGAGATTCCTTTCTTCCCAGCCTTAAATCACTTTGTGTATTTGAAGGTGGAGACCTGTCCATTGCACTGAGGTTAGGCACCCCTATGAGAGTCTGCTTTAGCTTCCCAATGGGAGGATCTTGGCTGCACAATTTATGGTGATGGGGGGATTGCTCTTGGGCTCTCCATCTGACTTGCTCCTCTGTCCTTTTGGCTATGGGCAAGCAAGACTAGGGGGCATCTGAACTCCAAGGCTTTTGGGCTTGGGGCTTGCATACAGGATGCCTGCCATGGATTTGGGAGTATCTGAAGCCCCAGGCTGAAGAGTCGCGGAGGGAGGACACTTACCAGTGGTAGTACCACATGGACTTGAATGATTGAGGTCTGCTCAGTCGATAGAATTCGGAACTGATTTAGCTGACTTGGCCCAAGACAGGAAATGTAATACTAATAACAAAAATTTTAAAAAAGAGAGAAGGGAGGTGTGTGGTATGGGCTGCAAAGGCAGTGGGGGAAACTGGGGAGGGATTGTTGCAAGTGGCACGGGGAGAGGGAGGAATGGGAGGGGAGGGGGGAGGGACCAGGATCAGCCCTTGATCTCAGCATGACTCCCCTCCAGCCCAGGCACTGCTTACACCTCCTCCAGATCTCCTTGCCCCTTTGGGCTCAGTGGCTTCCCAAGTACTTGCCAGTCCCCCAAGGAGTCACCATGGCCCCATTAGCTTGTTTATAATGGGCAGAGTGAGTCAGAGGGTGGGCCAGCTGCTGGCTGTCAAGGGGTTGCTAATTCCAAGGTACTGTGTCTTGTTTATGTGGCTGCTTTGATCTCCAGTGTGTTAATCCTGAAAGCTTCTCTTCGCCCACATATGCCTGTTAAATTTCACTCACTCCAAGACTCTCCCTGTGACTAAGAACATGACCTAGGTGTCCTGACACCCCAGTCCTGCTGTTCTAATTCCCCCCCCCGCCCCTCCCTGAGATGGGGAAAGAAGCCAGGACTCCTAGTCCCTGCTCCAACTAGATCTTCTAGGTATCCCTGCTGCAACCCACGAGACCCCACTTGTCTCCCAGAACTGGGGACAGGACCTGATCTACAACCCAGGCTCCAAACCCCCTGCTTCAACCCACTAGACCCCACTTCTCTCCTGGAACTGGAGAGAAGTGCTGACATGAAACTGTGAGAGGTAGCACAGGTGTTATCACTGGGGTGACATGCAACAGTATAGAGTAGGGGGTCCCTGCTGTGGGAGGGACCACTGGGGTCCATGGAAAGACCCCCCCTTTCCTCACTGAGTTGAATGGACCTGGAGTAAGCCCCTGTCTCGCTGCCCCCTAGCAGTGCCCTGGGTTTCTTGCACTGCTCCAGCAATCTCTGCCTCTCCCACAGGTACTGTATCCAGAGGTGACCAGGGGATGGATGGGGAGCAACTGGAACCACTGCCCTCAGGGGTGGATGCTGGCATGGAGCCCAAAGGGTTCTTGACGCCCCAGATCCGACGGGGCCAGGTAGGACCATCTTGGTCCTATGGAAGACCACCTGGAAACGAGTATGAAAGACCTGATGGTGGACAATTTGGGTCATATGGAGGACCCTTTGGACCATATGGAGGAGACAGCTCTTCTGGAAGACCTGGTAGACTGCATGGAGGAAGCACGTATGGGTCATCTGGAGGTTCTGGTTCTGGATCATATGGAAGTGGTGGGTTTAAACCTATGGTATATGGAAGTTCCTGCTCTGAAACAGTTAGAGAAGATGGGTCTGAGCCATCTGGAAGTTCCTGCCCTGGGTCAGGAGGAGGTGGGTTTGGAGGGGGAGCTTCAAGTTATGGATCGTCTGGAGGGGGCAGGCCTAAACTACCTGGAAAATCTTGCCCTGAATCACCTGCAAGTGGTGGGTCTGGATCATCCGGGCGCCCCTGCTCCCGACCATCTAGAGGAGCTAGAATTGAATTAATTGGACAAGGTGGGCCTAATATGTACCCAGGTTCCAGTTCTGGACCATCTCGGGGATACATCTCTGGATCTTATGATGGAGGCAGGTCTGAATCATATCTTGGAGGTAGTTCCAGATCAGCTTGGGGAGGCAGGAGGAACCAGCCAGGATCATTTGGGGCAGCTGGATCTGGATCATATGGAAATGCTGAGTGGGGTGACTCTGCAGGCAGCTTCTCAGGGTACAGGGACTCCAGTTCCTCTGGGCATATCCGGCTACAGGCTAAGCCCTCAGGCATCCCCTACATACTGGGTATCAGTGGCCTGGGCCGACGCACAGCGTTCATTCCAGTTCACAAGGATCCAGAGAACTCTGGCATGGTCAGTCCTTCTGCGCCAGATGGGTCAGTCCTTCTGCGCCCACATGACAAGGATCCTGATGTCCCCTCTGTGGCACCCCTCTCTGAACGACTGAACCTTGGCAACACTGACTACCACTCTCCGGGGAATGCTGCTGATGCCGCTGATAAAGAGGGAGCAGGGATGGGCAGTGGAGATGTTGCCACCTCTGGGAGTGACTTCTCTGATCCTACTGTGCACGGTGATGCTTAGACCCTGGACCAGGAAAGGGAAGTAGGGTGGCCTAGGAGCTAGCACTAGGATACATGGGTGTTTTGCTTTGGTCCTGGAGTGAGGTCTAGCCATCAGTTAGGAAATGGAAGCCAGGACTCCTGGGTCCTCTACTTTATTCTGGGAGTTGGTTCTAGCTCTTTGATTTAGGAAATAGGATCCAGGACACCTGGGTTCTTTTCCCAATTTTGCTGTCATTTTGTTGCGGGCCCCTTGACTGCTCTGTGCCTCAATTTCCCCACATATTCAGAGGGGTTTTTTGCTGGGCTCGTTGCTGTGGTGGAAACCCTTGCTGTGTACATGGTCAGTCCCTTGCATTGCTGTGTTCATTATAGCCTTCATTGCTGTCAAGCCAGCAGCCAAAGGATGCGTCTCCACCCAACCTACCCTTTGGGGCCCTTGTATTGCTGGGAGGGGCTGGGGAGAGGGTGACCGTTTACTTCTGCTTCTTGTTTCTGTGGCACAAAATGTTTTCAATAAAATCCTTGCATTGGACAACATGTTTGCTTATTCTTCCTCCAAACCCCTGATTCTGGGTGCATGTGGGCAGGACATCTGAGGATCGCTGAGCAGAGGCAGGCAAGAGAATAAAAAGGCAAGCTGTCTCCACAAAACTTCCTTTCTCCCTCCCACATGTGCAGGCATGCCATGGCTATAATGAGTAGTGTGTCTTACCAGCACTAGTGTGAGGGTCTATTAGGCTCGGGCAGACCTTTGAAACCCCATTAACCATCTGGAGTTGAGAGGGGGGCAGTTTCCCAAGAGATGTGGTGGATCCTCTGCCATGGGACATCACGAGTGGCTCATCCTCCTAAAAGCCCCTACACTTCAATGGGAAGTCACTCGGCCCAGGGAAGGACTCGTAGGATGGGATCCTCTTGCCTTCGGCATGGAGGTGGTCAGACCAGGCAGCCGTTGTCTCACTAAGGCTCTCCATATCTGCTGCATTTCAGGACCCAGTCAGCATTAGTGGACAAATCTGTGCCAGGCAGTGAGGGGCCATTCTCCCAGTGTATGGACAGGAAACAGAGCCCTCCCCCCCAATCCCATTCAGGTGCCTCAAGTCCATGCATCTTGCTCCACATCATTCAAGGACTCTGTGCCCAGTTCCCCTGGTCTTAATGTAGTTGCTAGGTTGTCCATCCTCTTGCAGCTCTTCTTGGCCTCAAAAACTCAATGAGCCCCTTCCTGTCCCAGTCTGGGTGGAGAGACAGGGAAGCCATGTCTTTCTCAATCCCCTGGCTGGTTCATCATGAGCCTGCTCTACTGCCCCGACTGACCTGTGGAGGGTGTCCCGGTGGAGGAGGCTTAGTCTCAGTGATATGGAGCCAAACTCCACTTCCTTGCTAATGCTCTGAGCTTCTGCAGCTCTGTGGACAGGGCACCATCCCTGGGCACTGCTGCCAAAGCCACAGAAATTTTCCACCAAATCTCAAGAAGTTGCAGAGTTGAGTGACTTCTGACCTTCTGACTTACCAAGGAGCACATGTAGTAAATGGGTACAGGTTCTTCTGTGCCACCATTTCTTGCCATGGGAAGTCACTAAATCTAGCAACAAAATCACTAAGGGCATCTTCACATGCGCTTTGGGGTGGGGAGTGGGGCACTTCAATTAGCACGGATCTCCGGAGCCACTCTAATTAAAGCACCCAAAGCGTCTCATGTATTCAGTGTCCCATGCTTCAAAATGGTGGTGTGAGTGCTTTGACTAAATCTTGTTCAACAAGCTTTAGTCAAAGCATCCCTGTGCCATTTTGAAGTTAATTAGCTCATTCCAGCCGACTTGATTAGTCTGCTTGATTAATCGAGTCTTCTCTGATGCGTGCTAATCAGCACACGTTGGAGCAGGCACCGGGCATGTGTTGGAGCTGTAAGTTGGCAGCAGTGGCACATGGGGGACTGTGGGAAATAGGCTGGCTTGTCCTATGTCTCATGCCCTAATATGAGGTTGATGAGTCCGATCCAATCCCCATGGGCAGATCCAGGATTGTGATGAGGGGAATGTGGATGCTGGGTGCCCTAGGATGCATGGCAGCACAGCTCCTACACAGAGATATGCATGTGCCGTAAGTTTTATGAGCTCACTGGCTGGTGGGCATGGGGTCTGTCCATAGCCCCTGCTTTCAAGCATCTCTGGAGCCCAAGAGGTAAGTGCCACCACTGTTTACCATTCCCTTCCCTTCCCTGCTCCCTCCTTCCACCCTCTCCTGAAAGTCCATGTCTCGAGCCAAATCGGTTCCAAATTCAGTTGTTCAAGTCTGTGTGATGTTACCACCAGCAAGTATCCTCCCTCCCAGACTCTTCATCCTGGGCCTTCAGATACTCTCAAATCCATAGCAAGCATCCCGTGTGCAAGCCCCAAGACTGCAGGCCTTGGAGCCCCCTAGGCTCACTTGCCCCTAGCCAAAAGGCTGAAGGAGCAAGCTAGAGGGAAAGCCGGAGAGCAATCCCTCCTGCCCTGTCCTGCTGA